TGGGGATTATGACTTTAGTTGGTACGTGGAAATAAAATTCATGCCCCAAACCAGAGTCAGTTGTAGGCATAGATGTGAAGAGGCTCTTTTGACATGATTTGAATGGTGGATAAAAGAGGAGGTTCAACTGCAGAAAGCTTAGTGAACACATTCTCTGTAACTCTCACTCACTGTGAGTCACTTATATCATGTTAATAATAAGATTATTAATTATCACAGATGCCAGGTCATTAGTCTTAGGAATTCTGATTCAGAAGGTATGGGAAGGACCTAGAAATCTATATTTAAAAAAAAAATTTCCCAGGTAATTTTGATGGTTAGCCAGATGGGGGAAGAAGGAGAAAGAGCGCTGAGGTTGTGATGTTGATTTGAATCTTAAGTCTCATGTACACTTGTACTTTTTTCGAGTCAGTGTCCTTATTTGCCAAATGGGAACAGCAAGTTCACCTCAGTGAGTAGCTGGAGGTGTCAACAAGCCAGCGCTGGCTGTGGTAAGTGTTCGATAAATGTTAGTTTCCTTTGTTCCTTTCTTGACATATCATTTGTTTTGATTTATACAGATGTTCTACTTGATTATTCTTGGCTAGCCCATTCAATTGATTAAATGATTGAACCAATGAGGCCTGAGCCATGATTTCTAGCTCTGCATAGGCAAGAAGCCTTGCTTGCTACCATGGTCAGAAATATATATCTAATCCTGCTCAATAAATACCCTGGATCCCAAAAGAGCATCGAGAGAATCTACATGGTGGAGGAATAGGCACAAAACTACTCCAGCCAGTGAAGAATCAGCTCAAAATGCATGGTATTAATGCATGAGCTTCCCATAAACATCTCAGCATGTCAATGAGTGATTTGGCCACACACTATACAATTTTCAGGGCTTAACAGGGATTGAAAAATATCCAAATTGGCTAAAAAGGATGTTATATATTAATATATATGAGGAGAGAAATTAAGTGAGGTGATTGCTTAGTAACTCATTTCCAAAAATGTTCTAATTGTCTGGACTATCTTTATTGAATTGTCTAGATTTTGTTGTATCATGTGACAATCACTAGCCACGTGTAGCTATTATATTCTCGAAATATAGCTAATCCAAACTGAAATGTGTTTTACATATAAAATACATGCCAGATGCTGAACACTTAGTACAAAAGTAAATGTAAGCTATTTCAGTAACAATTTTTTATATTTATTGTATGTTGACATGATTATAATTTAGAAATATTGGGTTAGATAAAAAATATTAAAATTATTCTCACCTGTTTATTTTTATATCTCTTAACGTGGCTTCCAGAAAATTTAAAATTACACATGTGGTTCACATTATACTTCTATAGGATGGTGCCAATATAAATTGTCCCATTCCTGTGTTTTCTTTAATGTTTATTTCTCACTACTCTTGATACTACATCTTTGGCTGTCACTCTTTAGGGTCAATCTTAAATGAAAAAATGGGCCACCTAACATGATTCCTTATGAGATGAGATATTTTAGGTACATTAGTAATTTGACCTGATTTGAGATATGGCCACAAACCTTGAGAGTAAACAAATATTTAAGTAAACAGCTATATTTTGACAAAAGTACATTAGGTTCTTATAAATTTGAATCTTTTTAAATGTGTGTTAAGTATATAACACTTTGCCAAACATTCACTCACACTCCATACAGATACTCTACTTCCTTAGTTTCAATAAAGTTAAAATATTTTACTGTTTTTAGTGCTGAAAAAGTCAGGAAAAAAATGTATTGTCCTTCATTCAAATGAAATGATCCTTTATTTTTTACAAAACCCAGATTTCAGAAGAAAATATAATTTTGTTAAAACTGGTAGTTGCATTTCTCAGAGAGGATAGATTATATGTGACCTATTTATCTCTCGATACTGTTACAATTTTGTTTATTAATCTATTATTTTGTGATTTTTCAAAAGACTCCATTTGTGTATGAAGCAAACAGAAACTAGATGGATATGTATCACATATATTTTCATTTCACAATTTATGGTAGAAAAAGATCCAAGTGTATTAACCAAATAGAATTTTAATTTGTTCCTTTCATCTTCTTTCTCTTTTAGTTTCCTGATTTTTCAAGGTATCTGATAAGTTAATTCCTTAGCTTTAAGTGTTTTATCTTGAATTACATTCAGAAAGGAACTAAAGTTTTCCATAAATAGCTGCCTTTAGGCAACATCTTTTTGAATCTCCTTTATAGTACATTTTTGGTAGAAATGTTTTTTCCCTTCTCCATTGATTTTCCTTCTGAGTTTTCTAGTTGGATCACTTTTTACCTTCTTTCCTTAGTAACTAATTTTTTCTCTGCTTAAATAACTAAACTTTCCCCTCTTATTTTCTAAATATGCCATCCCTTCTTTTTTTCACTGAAACTCTTTCCTTCATTTCTTCATTTTGTACTTTCTTCTTCTCAATTCTGTATTTCCAGGCTATTTTATGATTTCAGAAGTAATATGTATGAAGACTTCAAAAATCCCTCAGAATATAAATTTTTGTTACTATGTTTTTAATTTTAAAGAATAATGATATAAGCTGGGTGCAGAAGCATGCACAAGCAGTCTCAGTTACTTGGAGGCTAAGGATGGAGGATCGCTTGAACCTAGGAGTTCAGAGCTGTAGTGCACCACGGTTGTGCCTGTGAATAACCACTGCACTCTTACCTGGGCAATATAGTGAGACCCTGTCTTTAAAAGTAAAAACAGAAAGAAAGAAAAAGAATAATCATATGCTCTTATTTCCAGGAATGCCAAAGTATTTCATCTCACTGAAACACACATATATGTGTGTGTATATGCATATATTATATACATATGCATGAAAAAATCACACATTCTATAGCTATCTGCTTATATTTCTAAAATTGTCCTTAACACATTAACTACCTTGTGAGTTGTATTTAACTCACGCTAGTTTTGAGCCCGGGGCCTTATGACACGTATGTAACTCCCACGTTTCTTCACCTTGGGAGCTGTGAGAACTATTTTTCAAGTCACATATAACTCACGCATAGACAACAATAAAAAAATAATTTTTTCATTAAATTTGATGGGATTATTTTGTTTTTGAAATTTTTATTCCATTTTCATAATAAAACACTGTGGCCCCATGGGGAAAAATAATTTCTCTAGTGTGGCAGTCAATGTGTTAAATATTATTAACTTTTTATGTAAGTCTCTAATATAGTTTGTTTTCTATAAAATTTTTTCTCTTCATAAGCGACTGCAGGAAAACAGAGCAAAACAAAGAACAGTAAGAACAACAACGGCCTGGGGTTAATGGAAAGTGCTGATTGGCTTAGATGGTAATACACGGAACCAGTCAATGCTTCCCTTGTTGAGGGATGAATTTCAAAGACGCCCTTACATTGGCTGAATCCTCCGTTGGTTTGTGGCTCTCCTCAGACACTTCAGGGGCTGTTGGCACAGACACGGGAAGCAAAGGGGATCTTGCTTTTCCAGCCAACCCGAGAGAGGCTGTTTTAACATGAGTCTTAGGAAGAGTGGGCCCTGAAATAGAAAGCGCAGAGTGATGAAAGCAATATATAAAACATCCTGGGGAGCAGTTTCTCAAGTACACATGCCAAATCCAGTAGGTTGGCATTCATTTTAGGTTATTGCTCATTCTGTAGCGTAGAGACGCATTCTGACACCGTGAATGGGCTCATTTTATTTCTACTAAATGGAAGACAAAATCTGGTTAGGCTTTTCCAGATGCACCTCCACTAGTCACATGTAATTTCAAGTGGATTCCAAATCACACTGTGAAAAGTTGTCTGGGAGATCCGGACTATTCATCACACCCTACAAAGTCTCAGGCAAGCTTATTTGGTGCCAGTCTCAGCTGACGGCTAGAAAACCCTGTACTAAACCACCTAAATAAGCCCTAAATTGCATAATAGAACCAAAGAAGATTTGTGGAGTTAGAAAATATGGTTGCTCTGGTCTACAAATAAGTATTAGATATCATAGTTAAACAAAGTCCTTCAGACTTTTTCTATCAGTCCTGATAGAATATCATGTCTAATTCTCTTCTAGAAAAAAATACTGTAATTCTGTCCTGATCACTTATAGCTTCTGTCAATAAAAGACATTCTAATGTTCATGAAAATCATTTGAGGAACTGCTAAGTATCTAGATGTAGATGTACCTACATCTATCTAGAAGTAGATGATACTTCTGTCTACTATAAACAAGGGATGCCTTTTCTTTTTGAGCCTAAAATTTACCTTATAAATCCTGCTTAGCTTATAGCAGTGATACAACTTTGTCCCTATAGCCTGAAATAAAACTTTTATAAAGGTTTATTGAATCACCTAGTATACCTCACACAACTAAGGAGTTTTGTCATTCTTGGCATTATAACCAAGAGCTCAGCAGAAGAGTGTTGGAGTAAGCTACGAAAAGAAGTCTTCCTCAGTTCCCTTCTATCATGAGTGATGACATTTTAGCCCTAATGGTCCTAATGGGGATCCTATGTTTTGCCAAGAAAAAGTTGTTTTGACTATACTTTGGAAAACAGAATTCTAATTACTAAAGCTCAGAGGTTAATCTACAATCAGAAAAATAAGAATCATTTGATTGGAAAGGAAACAATTCAAATAAAAATCTAATGAACTGGCAATCTGCTAGATGCTGGTTACCATCAATGATAAATCCTAACATAAGTACCTTTTCCCATTTCATGACCTTCATATTTATACCTTCTTACACTCTTAAACTTCAGGGATCAAAAGTCTGCAATTGGAATGATTTATCACTAGAGGGTGATCTTAGGTTTTTGGTAGCTCAGATGAGAAGAGATACAGAGATGAGAAACATGAGTCATTTTCTTTAGAGAAGGAAATAATATTTACTGAGTGCATACTAAAGTCTAGATCTATGCCAAGCATTTCAGTTTCATTTTAGGCAAAATTGCATAGTAAGGAAGAATTGGGGATTTACAGGTAAATCCAGTCTGTGTTCAAATCTGTGCAATCCCTAGTCAACTAAAGCTGCCTTGACCTGTTTTTCATCTGTAAAATAGGCTAATAATGATTCATGAGAATTAAATGAGATTGTATATTTAAGGTGGCTAACACCTAGTAACTTGTTCAAAGAGGGATAGATATTATTAATATTTAATTGTTGAAACAATATTGCTAATTATTATTCCCAGTTGATACATGAGGATGTCAAAGTACAGAAAACGTAACTTGCTCAAGTTCACACATTTAGAAACAGGCAGGATAAGGGTTTGTACCAAGTTCTTTCTAAAGCCACTGAGCAAATGAAGATTTTTATCACTAAAATGTTGATTCAATTTAAATGAACTTTTTGAAAAAGCAATATAAACGAACATGAAATCTAGTCCAAAAACTATACATAACTTGAGAGTGAAAAGTATTCATTGTGTCATCGTTTCTCATTACTGACTTGTAATTTAAAAGGAAAAACAAAACTTTAATAAACCCCAGCATTAACTTAAACTATTTTTATTACAATGTTATTTAAATATGTACAAAAATAAAATTTGCCCTAAGTTTCATAACTTGTAGTT